CTTAGCTGGAAGAAGCAGTTCATTGAGGGATTGAATATATGATCTCTGGTCCCTTCCTTTATGTGAGCTGCCTCCTGTCTAGCAAGATATGAACAGATTCTTTCGGGCGGTTACACTGCCATGATATTGCCTCACAATTGGCCCAGAAATACAGAGCCAGATGACTGTGGACAGAACCCCCTTGAACTACGAGGCAAAAGAAATAATTCCTCCCTTAAATTGTTTTCATCGGGTCACAACAATGAGAAAAGCTAAGGTTTTTCACATACTGGATGAGGTAGCTATTCACGTGAAGATTGAGGAGAACTCACACAAACTGGTTGGAGGAGCAGTGAGCAGGGCCTGGTGACCCATGGGATAGATCCACAGGGGAGCCCTTGCCGTTCTGACTTAGAAGGGTGACGGGGTGGCTCGCACAAGAATTCGCAAGAGGAGCGGGTTTGCACGTGAGGTTAGTGAGATTATATTTTGGCACGTTAACCTGGGAGTGTCGCTGGGGAGAAGGTGCTGTGAAAGAGTGCTGAGGAATGCCTAAAGTCTGGGGAAAGAGATTCTGGAAAGAGAGAGAAAACCGGAAGTTACGGGTCTATAAGCAACAGTTGAACCTTTGTAAACCCTAAGTCACCAGTGAGTGAGGAATGTAATCTTATTTCACTTGTTTTTTTATTTCTTTCCTCAATCATCCATTAAAAAAAAAAACAATTATTTACGGAGTTTGCATCTGTGTATGGTACGTGTGTATGTGAGTTTGGGTGTGTGCACAGGAGTACATGCCCATGAACCTCCATAAATAGGCCAGAGGAGGATGTTGGGTATATTTCTCTATCACTTTTCACCTTATTCCCAGTAGCTCTAGTGAACCTGACATGTAACTATTTTGGCTAGGCTGCTGGCCAGTGAGCTCCTGGGATCCAACCGTCTTTGTCCATTAGTGCTGGGGTCCCAGGCTTTTTCATGTGGGGGCTGGGGTTTGAACTCAAGTCTTCCTGCTTGCCGAGTAAGTACTCTTGTTCACGGAACCATCTCCTTAGCACCCCACACCAATAAACCAAGTTTCAGTGGCTGTTTGTGCCGGGCACTATTGTGTATGCTTTTTACATAAATGAGACCCTGAAGAAAGTAGTAAGTAGAAAACTAAAGAGCAGGAAGGCGAGACCAACAGTGAAGAGCATGTCAAATGATGCCAAGACGCCAAATGAGATGATGAGTAAGAAGAGTCCTCTGGCTTTAGCACAAAATAGGTCACTGGTAGGAGAGAATAGAGTCGATTCTGTGGAGTGATAGACATGGAAACTGAGATTGAGCTGTAGCTTGAGGCATCGATGGGTTGTAAGGACATGGACCTAATGAAAGAAGAGAGACATAGATGTGTAAATGCAGAAGTGGCTACAAAATCCTCTACCTGCATGAATGCCCCTTTGCAATTTCTTCACAGTTATTCCCTTCAAGAGGTAGGGCGGGTTTCTTAACTACAAACTAGACTTGGTCATGTGATTTCCTGTGTCCAATGGGGGCAGTAACAAAGAAATTAAAGTGTTTGTGTTTTGTACCTTATTCTTGCTGCTCTTAGGGACCCTGAGATTACAGTCAGGTAAATAAAACTCTAGACTAACTTGCTGACAATCCCTGGCTAGTGGTCTTGTTCACCCACAGGCAGCCAGCAGCAATAGATGATCTTGCCAAACACTAGCCATTGATTCAGCCCCTGGCCAATCTACACACTGACTTAGGACACCCAGCCACTCCTAGCAAATAAATTGTCCGGCGAAGACCAGATCAGACTAGTGACCAGATCAGACAGGAAAGTGAATGCTGTTTTAAGCTTTACTGTCCTGAGGGTAATTTCTTACATATCTCAAGTAAACTATTATAACACAATATTTTTTAATGCCATAGGTTTCCAATGTCTCATTTCTCCTGAGGTTTGTATCTACTTTTGAAACTTTGGACTGGATTAGGGAGTTAGAAAAGAAGGAGTTGATTTTAGTCACCCCTCTTCCTTCCCCTCTCTTCCTAACACATTGTTCCAGCTAGAAATAATATATCATAGTATCGGAGGGTGGGATGGCAAGGTCAAATAGTATTATTGATTTATACCACAATGTAATTTTTAAAATCAACATGTTGAGCAAAGGAAGCCAGATGAAAGAAACAAAATACATATTCTCTGTATTTCTCTTTATATGCAATTCTAGAAAAGTATATGTATTTATGTATAATAATAATGATGCCATGCCTCGTGATGGGTTCCAGGAGGAAAGAGTGAACTATCAAGGGGCATGAAGAAATTTGGGGGATGATGAATGAACACATCAATTGTCTTGATTATGGTGACGGGTTCATGGGTAAATACTATATGCTTCCAAAGAGTTCATTTTAAAGATGTACCATTTACTAGCCAGGGTTGGTGGTGCATGCCTGTAATTTCAGTGTTCAGTAAGGTTCAGTAAGTAAAGGCATGAGGATCAGAGTTTAAGGCCACCTTTAGGTACATAATGCATTAGTTAAAGGCCTGCTTGAGTTACCTAAGGCTGTTCAAAAACAAACAAGATAGAGCTAGCAAGAAGACTCAGTGGTCTTTTAGGTTCAATTTCAAGGACCTATATGGAGTCTCACAACCATCTCTAACTCCAGTTTCTGGGGAAGACAATGTCCTCTTCTGGCATCCTTCAGCACCAGGCATGCACGTGGTACACAGACATAAATGCAGGTAAAACACCCATGTACATAAAATCACCATAAATTTTTTAACAAATGTTATGTAGTTTGATGTGCCTTAATTATATCTTAATAAAGCTCTTACAAGAGAATATGGGTAATGGATAAAACTTTCCAATTGTTTTCCAATTCATGAAGGGGTTGTAGAATCAAAGTAATGTTCCCACAAAGATGTCCAAGCCCTACGTCTCCAGAGCTACATGTGAATATAAGGAACTGTGCAGACTTGTATACTACAGTGGCAAAGAACCCTTGCAGACGTATTTAGAAGATAAGAGCTTGAGATCAGGAAGCTGCCCAAGACTGAGTGTACAAGCTTGATGATAATTGTCTGAGTCCTGAGAAGGGAAGAGCCTTTATCAGTTGGGATTTCAAGAGGAGATGGAAGAAGAAGATGGATTTGAAGGACTCAGTCTGCTGAGAAAATGGAGAAAGGGAGCCACGAGCCCAGAAATAGTGGCATCTGTGATCTAGGACCGGACCTCTGTTTCAGAAGTATGACAATGGGGACTTTCATTTTATCCTTACAACGAGTTACATTTCATGAATCATTCAAATGGCCACAAAACAGTTTCTTTCCTAGAATTTCCAACTGCAGCTTGCAGTCACCTTGATGAGAATCATAGCAGTCAGCCCTTGACTGAGCTAGAGAACATTAAGTTAGTGTTTTAAGCTACTGAGTAGCAGTTGACTGGAGCAGTTCTAGAAAATTAGTACAGAAAGTTTCTATGGCAAACAGTTGAAGTTACTGACAAAGTAGCTATTTTAAAATAGTCTGTATTTCCTAGCAATGGATTCCAAATAATTAAGTCATTGTATTTTGCCCAAGGTATGTCACTTAGGTATGGGAAGGGCTGGTTATAGGAGTCTTAACACTTGGGACCTCATTGTCTGAACCATACATTGGTGGCATTTTCTTCCAACTGTAGAAATACCCTTCCATTAAATAGTTGTCCCGTGACTCCAAAATGCCTCTCTGGACCCTTCCTAATACACCTCCCTCAACTTCATGCCCTCTCAAAAAATATTATAATCTACAAATTAGTGCTGCCCAAATCTATAAGGTGCTTGTACAAGACCAACAGCCGATCAAGCCAGCTTAAATTCCTGCGCAGGTGGGGGAGGGGATCATGCATTTCATTTTGCTTGTTTGTTTGTTTGTTTTTTAAGTCATCCGCTTCCAAACGAAAACATGGTGATTTTGTTGGGGGGGGGGGGAAATCTTTAAATCCTTTTGTTAAAATCTGAAAACAGATTTCTCGCTAAGATTCTAGCTCAATTCTTCTCCTTAGAAGTGCTCAGCCTCCTGTGTACCGTTTGCTCTTTTGCAGAATCATGGCGATGACCATGACTCGCCCGAAGTTGAGATGGAGCAAATATGCCCACGGAATCCGTGTGAGTGCTGGCTGGGCTTCCCATGTTCTGCTTGTGATCCTATCGTGGCTTCTAGTTAAGACAATTTCCATTCAAGAAGTGATGTCACCTAACTTCGTAGCTTAAGCAGAAGAAAGCTTCATATGTTGTCTGGGAAATGGCTCCACTGGGAAAATGTTTGCCTGATAAATTGGATGACCTGAGTTTGGCGCCCAGAAGCGATGTAAAGAAACAAGAAATAGCGTGACCTGGACATGTCATTCCCAGTGCAGTAGTTGGAAAGGAAGACAGTGGGTGGATCCCTAGGACTTACTGCCTACCCAACCTACCCTAATCATTGAGAAACCTTGCCTCAAAAAACAAAAAGTCCGAACCACCACAAAAAAACCCAAGGTATACAGCCCCGGAGGAACCACACCCTAGGTTGACCGGTAGTGTGTACGTACCTCGCCCCGCCCCCCACCCCAGTTTGCCTTTTAAACGCTAATCCCATTAAGAAGATGCGATCACTTTCTGTGGTTACCCACCCCCCTCATGCTCCACGCCCAAATAGTTCCTGTTTCTGTTGAGCCCGAAGCAGGAAGAGAAAGTGACGCAGCAGCGATGCTGAGCAAGTGGAGTTCAGTCCTATGGCTTCTTTCTCCCCCATAAGAGGGGTGCGTGGGCAGAGCCCCGGTTATGCTTCTCATTTGCTTCATCCTTACAGCTTTTCCCAAATGTCCTTAGCGCGCGCTCGCTCCTGACTCTTGCCTTATCAGTGCCTGGCCACATGAGCTGGGAGATTCCTAAAGTTCTGTTGTCTCTCAAAACAAAACAGAACATTCCATCCAAATTTAAACAGAACCATTTACAACATTTACAATTCTATTACATATCGGTTTTCCTGCCTGGCATTTATTTGAGGAAAGGCTCTCTCGGATATGAGGGAGTTGGTTTTGGAAAATTAAATCAGACTGACTAAAAGGATGGTATGATTCACAAGAAAAGAGAAGATCATTGTGTGATAGGATAATTATTTTTGGAGCACTTTATTTTCATGACTTCCAGCGCACAGAGAAGAAACATATGGACGGTGTTGCTAATTTAGGCCTGTGCTTGCTTCAGGCTCTGCATGGAGGTTCTACACCAGAGCTCTTTGGTCTCCATTTTTGAATGGAGTGCTGCAAGAGATGCCGTCATCAGGCAGCAGAGTTAACACAGGTAGTTTTCACTGTGGCAGACAAGCAGGCCTGACCTTCCTCCCCTGAGAGCATGCTGTAAGGGGTGGAGCTAGCTCACAGGAGCTCTGTGTGGGCAGCCTTGAGAGTGGGCATTTCAATTTGAAAATTTTGTCAGTTGCCATAGTAATAGTCACAATTACGTGGTTTGTTCCTTCTTCATGGTACTGAACACATCTTAAAAGCACCCAGAAAACAGTAGGGCTTTACTTCTCTCTCTCAAATGCATGCTCATTGAGAGGAAAACAATCATGTGTGAGTGTATTTTAAGTTCAAGGAAAACAACAAAAAATATCACTTGCATGTCTCTCAATGTGAAGTATGTTCGTTTCCTAACCATATATTTAATGAGATTCTTCTTTTAGTAGAGAAATGAACAGGAAGTAATTTTTTTCTTTTCTTTTTTCTTTTTCTTTTTTTTTTTTTTTTCAAAACAAGGAGCCCTAGAAACCAAGGTTACAAAGTTCTGTGAAAGGAACAGGAAACTTCCTCTTGTTGTGAATGTGTGGTGTCAGCAAATCTGCCGCTGTGCAGGCAGGCACAGGTTGCTATGTCTGCTGAATCCCCGAGTAGACACTCTGACCATGCTTTGTGCTGCTTGCCCACTGCGGACTGCTTCCTCCCAGAAGGCAGTTCCGGGAGAAGACATTGCAGGTGGCCTCAGGGATACCGCTTATTTGGCTAAAATGTTTACATACTGAAATTCCATGAGCTTCCATGTCTAGGGCTAAATTATTACAGGGTTCCTTCTATTTTGATGTAGAAATACGTGTATGCATACCTCTCTGGGTACTAATTCTGAATGTAATATAGAAAAATGGTTAGGGTGTCTTCTTTGGGTTACTTCCTATTTCTGACAGAGACGGGTAGGGCTGTCTGTGATTTTGAGCTATATCGCATGGGAATTGAAGAGCTACCATTGGTTGATAGATTCAGTAAAGAAACAGAATGTGGAGACTTACCACAGTCAGGATGGCTGTGCATGCTGTGTTAAGGGCAGTAGGAATTGATTCCCTCTTATCCGTAGTCAATTAAATACCCTGAAAGAATCTGGGATAAATGATTGTTCAATGGTACTTACTCTATTTAATAATGAAGCTCATCAATCTATGAATTAAAAATTAGTCTTGCCAACGCTAGTCGCCCTGTGGAACTGGGGGCTTCACTGCCTTTGGTGTTTATTTCCAGTGTTGGTGTTTTAAGTGAACTTTTCCTCTTAGACTTCCATACTCCTACTTTTTAAAAATAAATAAAGGGGTTTCGATAGCATCAGTTAAAATGACAATGAATATCACTGTATAAATATGAGAAGAGCCAAAATCTGGAACATTGACAGCATCAAACACTGCCCAGGTTATATGCTATTAGGAACTCGTATTTCTTGCAGGAGGCAATAGTGAAATGGTATAGCCACTTTGGAAGATAGTTTGATAGTGTCCTATAAAACTAAACATGCCTTTATGTATGTTTAGATACTAAGAAGTGTGATTTAGCTACTTGGTATACTCAGAGAAGTTAAAATGTACACACACACACACACACACACACACACACACACACACACACACACAACTTGAACATGAGTGTTTACAGTAGATTTGTTATTAATTGTTGGAAGCATCCAAAATTATTTTAGTAGGTAAATAAACTTCAGTAAATCTAAATAATGAGTTGTACTAAAAAGATATGAGCTATCAAACCAGAAAAACACAGGGTAGAAACTGAAATGGATGTTGCTAACTAAGGACCAGTCTGAAAAGGCTGCATATTGTGTGATTCCAGCTCTATTACTCTCTGCAAAAGGCAAAGTTTTTGAGATACTAAGATTCATGGTTGTCAGGGGTTAGTGGTGGAGAAAGAAATGGATAGATGGATGATGAGCCCTTTAGGGCAGTGGAAACAATGAGTATGATACTGTACTGGTGATTATGTACCTTTACATATGTATATGAATGCATATGGTAAATGTATATAAGTGCATAGTGTATAATAACAAGAGTAAACTGCAGGGTAAAATGTGGACTTCAGGTGATGATGGTGTGTCAAGATAGGCTCATCAATGGTAAGAACTGTACCACGCTGCTAGAGGGGCGTTGTTGATGATCGTCAAGGAGTCTAAGTGCACGTGGGAGTGGGGAGCAAATGGGAAACCTCTGCCCTTTCCTTTCAGTAATGCTGAGAACCCAAAATTAGTCTGAAAAAATAGAGTTAAAAGGTTTAACAATAACAATTTAATACACTCCTGGAAAATTATTTTCAGTGAAGCCATTTTCAGGGAAAATGATGTTATTGTTTGGCCCTTCGATGGATGCCATTTCCCTCCTGCGGGGTGCAAAGCATTGAGCAAATGTTCAATTTTTACTAAAAAGGAAACATTGTGTAGTGATAGATAGTCCCAACTTCTGCTTTTAAATTTTTATTCGATGTGTTAATGCATCTAATCCACTAAAGTGAAAAGTCATCAACTAGTGTTATCGTTATAAAAAAGAATCACCTCTTCACTTAAATATTTTAAATTTTATTTTAAATAAACAAGAGACTCTTGTGATTTAAAACTCACAAGAAGTGAGAAATATCATTTATGTTAAGATCTCCCCCTGAGGTCACAGGTCTAGTACTTTGGGTAACGAGCCAGTACTATGTCCTTGGTTATCATTCTAGAATTTGTTCCTGCTTGTAAAAACAAATTATCTTCTTTTTTATACAAAAGGTTTCATATTATATATCCTATTCCTTTTCACCCAACAAATGCTCTTCTATACTGCTCTGTTTTCAATTACTCCATTTTCACTAGTGTGTCTTTGGTATTATTCAATTTTATCACACAAGAAAAATTTAAATACACTTTTAGTGCTAACTGTAATTTTGTGTTCATTCTTCTTACTAAATTGAATAGCAGATGACGTAGATTAATGCATTGAAATTTCATTGAGAGTCTGCTGAAATTACAAAATAGTTCCAGGAGAGTTAAGGCATGTAAGATGTGATTCTCCCATTCCTAGAGAGGCCATTTTGTGGTCATGAGTAGCGTGCTAAGTTTTATTTTTAATAGATCTCATTGTTGTTGACAAAAGCATTTGTTTGTTTTAATCTTCATTCCTCTTATATATCGATTTCTTGGTTGTCTGTTGTCTGTCGAGTCAGGAAAGACTGATGATATGTGTCTAGTGTGTTTTCACATTCTATGGGAGATACTTGGATGCTTCTCCTTAGAGCTGTCGACACAGTGAGATAGTTTCCAGGACTATCTGTTTCTAGGAGTGTCCTCCTTAGTCCTGGCAAAGTTCTAAGAAGTGATGGGAAACCAAATTGAGCCAAGCCAAAATGAAATGAAACAAAGCAAAGCATTCACTTCTAACTCGTAAGGAACCTGGATTTTAGCGGTTGGAATAAAACAAAACAAAACAAAACAACCAGAAAACGAACCAGCTGATGTTCAGTGAGCAAATGCATTCTCTACATAACAATCAGAGATCTTTCTATGTAATATTTATTTGTCACAACTCTGTGATGACAGTATTATTAGTTTTGCCTTATACTGAGAAATACTGAAGATAATAAGTATATTTACAGGTTTACATAGGCAGAAACAGATTTTCAGCCTATATTGAATTAATGAATAAATAGAAACCTAGTACAAAAGAATATGGTAGAGAAAACTTGGTAATCAGGGAAGATCTATCGGAACAAGAATGTTTGAGCAGCTGCCTAGTATATGTGTGGCACCCAACCACATAAAGGCCAGGGCAAAACACTTCTAACTAGACCTAGTAACACTTCTATCTAGACATAGCTTCTATGCAGCTTCTAGGCTGATGTCAGGGACAGAAAGAAATCTGCATAGTTGGAACACAGCAGGAGGGAAACATGCTACACAGAAGCCACATCATGGATTGCAAAGGCCAGTGGAGTGGGAGAGGCCTGTCAGAGGTTACTTCAGAACCTCACTAGAGGACTCTGGCTTAGGTGAACGGCGGGGGTGGGGGCTGGGCAGAAGCGGTGGACAGGTTTGAAATACATTCTGGAGGTTGAATTAACCTATTTCTAATGAACTTGATTAAGAGGAATACAAGAAGAAACAAACAATTAATCCACAGTGCAAATGTACCGAGATATCTGAATGTGAACTTGTTACATAAAATTGTGCCAGAAAGTTTCAATTTTAAACATTTGAATTAATTATGGTGGGAAAGGAGGTAGCACCTACTGGGATTGATGAGGGTACAAATACTTCTACTTTAACTCTAGGGAAAGGCATTTTGCAACACGACAATTTTTTCATTTTGGCTAGCATTCATTCATTTGAAAAATATCTGAATGCCGAGCAAAATTGTAGGTACCGAAGACACAGAAGTTGAGGAGAAACTCAAACAAGTTCAGATTCTTAATGATGTTTACCTGTTATGGAGTTTTGTTTCCTCTTTCCTACCAATGATATGGAATTTTGTTTCCTATTTCCTACCAATGATATGGAATTTTGTTTCCTATTTCCTACCAATGATCCCTTCTTCAGATGAGATCATAAGGCTGAGGATGTGTAAGTGGTTTGGCCATGTCCACAGAGGCTCCACATCCTAACGTCTTGGTCTTGAGTCCATTATACTTGCTACAGATGCTGTGGCCGGATACTACACTGTGGAGCCATCCACAGAAGGCCCTGTACATCATTGCTCCTTCCTTAGTGCCTGCAAGGTTCTAGGAAGTGTTGGGAAACCAAGCAGAACCAAACTAAAATGAAATGAAGCCATAGGTTTCTCACCCTTAAGGAACCTGGATTTGAACAGCTGCGGGGTGGGGGTCGAGGGAACAGCTAGCAAATGCTGTCAGGCTACTTTTGAATAGTTTCCTTGGTTCATTCCTGTTTCATGTGAGCTGATATCTAATTTTGGTCTTCACAATTACCGGATGTTAACAATGCAATTAGGACTGAAGAAAATGTGTCTAACACTCTTGGAAAACGCATCCCCCAACCACCTAAGTGCC